GAATATTCTGCTTCTGCACCCTAGAGCCTTAGATCAAAATTAATAGTCCCCAATTGGTGTTCCGTAAAGCCCTATGGTTCCGTGGAAAGGTTACAGCGGCTACACGAGATAGTACTTTTATCAGGTGTTCCGCCGAAAGAACGTTAATTATTTAGAGTTCCATGGAAGAAAAATATTGAGAGCCCCTGACTTAGATCAACTAATTCAAATACTAAAATAGTCTAAACTAATTTGTACGACCACCTTTTATAAAGACTCTTCCATTATAACGACCATTAAAAANTGAAAAAAAAATCAAGCGAATTCCCCATTGTTTTTACGAGAGACTAAAATTGCAAAAAGTAAAATTTAATTAAGAAAGGTTAAAATTCGCAACATAATTAGCATATTTATTTCAGTTTACTATAAGAGGTAGAACGGTAGAAATAGCGAGAATCTGGTTCATCGGACCATTCATCGGAGTTGGCAGTTCTATGATCTGTTAATAAGTTTCTGTTAATTTAATACGAATAATTTGAAACGTAAGTTATAGTGGTAGTTATTACTATTGAATAATTAAAGGATAATAAATAAATAAAAATGGGCTGAGTTTCAACTTTTCCCTTTGTTTTTAGTCACCTGTGGCATTCCTGCGAATAATTAGCCATCACCAACTTGCCGTTAAACTTGTAGAATAATTAGCCATATGCCAACTTGCTCCGCTTTCTAAAAAAGTAATTTCTAGTGGTAACGAAATTGAAGTAACTTTTACTTTATTTTTCATTTTCAGTCATTTTTCCACCACTACAATATCAAAAATATACTCTACAATTCCACCACTACAATATCAAAAGTATCTTATAAAATGCACCTTGACTGAATTAAACTTTTCGCAGGTGCCCAGCTTTTGTTAAATAAAGTAAGTTAGAATTAAACTTGTTGCTGCAATTTTAAAATGTGGGCGTAACTATCCTTTTCCTACAAATGTAACGATTTTATTCACTACCACTTTATTAAATCTTTTGCAGAAAGCGGAGCAGTTAGCATCCCTGTTTGCTATCCTTAAAGGCAGCACTGATATTGTTCCCCACTAGGACTGGGCGATACATCGATGCATCGGAAAACATCGATGTTGTGCAATCATCGCCGATCCGATGCTTAGACTGGCCTCCTTTTCGAAGCATCGTGAATTTCGATGTGAGCACGATGTTTTCCGATGTCAGGTTGACATCGATGTTTCCCGATGCCGCGAAGCACGATTCTCCCTCTCCAACATCGATGTTCGCAAGCACGCGCGATGAGCATTTTCCCCCGATCATGCGGCGACATCGATTGTCGTCACGATATTTTCCCCTATGTTTCTTCCTTCGCGAAGCATCAAGTAACGATGTGCTCACACGATGATTTCCGATGTGACTAGACGATCTTTCCCCTTGTGTTCCTTCTTTCGCGAATTGTCGAGTAACGATGTGCTCACACGATGATTTCCGATGTGACTATAACTCATCGCCAATGAAAGATGAAAAGGTGTTTTCTTCATTTCGTGTAAATCCAAGAAAAGAAAGTGATTCTCGGAGGATTATTTATGTTTTGTTATTTGACAATACTTTGAGATCATTTTTGTCTTGTTGAAGAAACGATCGTCTGTTTCGATAAGACTTTTTATTTATTTACTTTTTTACCNAAAAAAAAAGTAAAGGTGTGCAAGAATGCAAAATTTGGCAAAACCAAATGTGAAATAGTAATGTGACATCGCGATGTATCGAAACATCACGATGTTTGAGTGGCGATGCATCACGATGCTGAAATCTTAACATCGCCCAGTCCTATTCCCCACTAATGATGCGTTTGTGCAATACTTCGTAGCAGGGATGCCACTGGCGACTAAGAATGTAAAGAAGTTGTAGAAATGCAGTTCACTTTTATTTAATTATTATCTCTGCAATTCAATCGTAACTAGTACTTTGACTTACATTCCAAATTATTCATATTGGAAACAAAAACATTCTTTACATACTTGTCCAATATTTCAAGAGAAATAGGATTCCCAGTTCGAACTTTATGACTATGACATTCATAAGTTAAATGGAAAAAAAATATTATATAAAAAGTTGCTATTTTTAATTTAATTTCTTTTAATAAAATTTGAATTTTATTAACTAACACTTTTTGAATTTTTAGCTGCCCGTGGCAATACTGTAAAAATGATGCAAAATGTACCATTTAAAAAAATAGTAGTCGTGAAACTTAAACTAAGAGTTGATAATTTCCAGTGTGACTACTTCTTTAGTTTTAAGTTTAGTCCACTTTAGTTTTTTTGATCAAAACATATCGCTACTTATACTGATAATGTATATTCTAATCACAGAAATATCCTACATTGTGTAAAAAAGTCCCAAAAATTAATAAATTTAACGTTTTTTATGGAATAATCAATAAATTATAAAATAAAAATTAATAATAAATTTAATTAATCTATTTTTTTTTGTTGAAAATCTCATTTAAGAGTTTTCTTTGACTCTAAGCTACATATTTAAGTAAGAACGCATACCATTTTTTAAAGCCTAGTCGATCTCAGAAGTACATAATGCTCCTAAAGCATTTTAAATTAATGTTATTTTTGTTTTTATTTAATTCGTGAAACCTATATTATTTTTCTAGAACCATGTATCAAGATTTCGGATAGACTATTTCAGGAATAGTAGGATTTGTTATTTACTAGTCTAGCTGATTTTTCTACATTTTGGAAATAAAGCATAAAAGTGAGTAAAAAAAATGCATTAATTTATTAACAATTAATACAAGTTTTCATGATACCGAATATANATATATATGATTTTTTATTTTGTGTTTCATACTGTATTGCATAACCATAAATTATTAAAATGCTAAATGTAATATTTTTCACTTATTTTGACCTAAATTAATACAAAATAATGTAAAAATGTATGAGAAGCATATTTAATAAAAATTTTACGTCAAAGGATTTACTATTCAGTCCAATGCTTTAATTTCAAATTCAGCAATGAGTCCAACAGAACGCATTTCATTACATAAAATGAAACAAAAAATGTTCAAAAATATTAATTCGTTACCGATTAAGCGAATTTCGGACATATTATTCTCGGTAGGTTAACATGGAGGAAATAAAATATCTTTTTTGTGCAACGGGGACCCTTAAGTGCTATGGACATTTTTAATAAGTTCTAATTATTAATAAAATATTGTGCTTCGGTTCTTTACTACTGGGGAATATCTTCGTCAAAAATCGCCAAGTTTGGGTGTGCGGAGAAGGTAATAGGGGGTGAGATGGAGCAATTGATTACGACACGGAACAGTTTTTACTAATCTTATATAAACGTTCTTATATAAGTTCAGAAAAAGAAGAATTATACTGCCCTGTGATGCTTTGTCAAGGTCATTAGTTTTGTTGATTAGAATTAGAAATGAGTGAAGAACTAGGCAGAGAATGTAACTTTATAAAATTTTTCTTCTTCTTAAATCTGAATCAGTGACCTTCAAAGTATATTTCTCTGAAGGACAACAGGTTCTTCAGTATCATGTAAAAAGTGAAATGATGTTTTCAATAAACTTTTTGTTGTCTGCAATAACCTTTATCATAATTCATAACGTCTAACTTTATGAAATAACCAGTGGCCCTCGTCCCTTGAGTTGCAAATTCGTTAATGTTTCAGAATTATTTTTATTTCAGGGCAGCTACTTGTCCTGAAAATACTGGTAGAACGGATATTTTATTTCTTCTTATTTGTGGAAAATAAACTAACCCTGATTACCGCTTACTTTCTTTTTCTTACAACAATGTACAGATTATCATCATTATCGAAATTTATCTGGGCGCCTGAGGCCCGTTAGCGGCCTTTTTCCCAACTTACAGATTATAAACTTTTTTACAAGTAAATTTACTTTAAAACTTTTGATAGTTACGAATAATTGTAATCCTTTTGAAAAAAGAAATAAATTTAATGTTTTTACTACTAGTATTTTATATTTTCGTGAAAAAAGTAGAAATTATTTCTCAAATTAGCTTCTCTTAAATTTAAATTCGAATTTATTCAATTCGAAGTTATTATTGAAGTATTTAAAGTACGTCCATCTCCCTCTTTCTTTTTTTAAGTGTATCCTGCTCATAAATGGTCAGAATTCTTAAAAAATGATGATTTTAATAAATTGTGAGAGAATTGAGGCATTATAAAAAATTATACGACAAAGATCAAAAAAATAATGTAGAAATATATTTTAAATGAAGCTATTAAAATTTAGAGTTTACTTAAATGTTGCCAACTAAGATCGAAAAATACCAAATATAAATTTGGTGCCATATTACAATAAACATACATTATATACAGGGTGTCTGAGTTAAGCGTTTCAGAACTTCTAAGACGGGTAGGGGGCATCCTGACGACTCGAAATCATATAGCAATGTGGGGTCGGAAATGCTTTCCTGAAGCGGTGACGTACACAGAAGCACCATAAAGAAAAGAGACCGTAAGTGAAAAATCGCTATAATAATACATTGAAAAAATTATATGGTACATGGGCCAAAGTAAGTGTTCAAAGTTTCTGCCACCGGCTACAATGTACACCTCACATCCCCGGCGCATGGACATTCGGACATTCTGCAATACTCCAGGCATATCTCGCAGGCAGCTACTGCGATTCTTGCAACCAGCATTATCAACAGGGGTGTCATAAACCAGTGTTTTCATATGACTCCAGAAATCAAGACATGATAGGTCGGGTGACTTAAGAGGCCATATAATTTTTTCAATGTATTATTATGGCGATTTTTCACTTACGGTCTCTTTTCTTTATGGTGCTTCTGTGTACGTCACAGCTTCAGGAAAGCATTTCCGACTCCACATTGCTATAATGATTTCGAGTTGTCAGGATGCCCCCTACCCCTCTTAGAAGTTCTGAAACGCTTAACTGAGACACCCTGTATTATTCATAAAACGCTAGTTCAAGGTATTTCTTTAAATGACACCATCAAATACTAAAACAACAAAATAACTAAATAATTCTTAGTAAATACAGCTAGTTACGGAATTTCGGGTAACGATTAGTTAATTTAAAAAGAAAGATGTCAAAAAGAAAACTTCTTGATAACAACAATAACAATAAATTTTATTTTTGTAATAACCGCACGAGATCTTTATTATTAATTTAAGTGATGTATAACAAAAGTAAACTATAGACATATCAAATGTAAATTTTAAAAACAAAACGAAAGTTCACAATTGTTAATTTCAAACATGAGGTCGTGTGTACCACATCTTTGTGTTTTTTTTTCAATAAGGCGCTAACACTACTGCCAATGTAAAGAAATAAATTTTTAGAGTATCAGATATGCAAAATTAGAATGTTTTTACATAAAAATTTAATTCTGTAATTGTTTTTTGGTATTATTTTATTCAAGGAATGGCGGCTTCCACAAAGTTGACATGGGCTCAACGCATCAGCTATGGAGTGGGTCATTCCCTCAACGACCTCTGTTCCACCATGTGGTTCAGCTATCTAATTATCTACCTGCAGTTGGTGCTGGGCTTCAACTCAAACTACGCTGGTCTGATTCTCCTGATAGGACAGACAGTGGACGCCATAGCAACTCCTCTGTTGGGTTACGAAGCGAGTCACCCTAGACAAAGCAAAATTTGCAAGAAGTACGGAAGAAGGAAATTTATGCATCTGATTGGTAATGTATCCAATGTATCTTGCAATTTGATTTCTTATATATCCAATGTATCTTGCAATTTGATTGGTAATGTATTCAAAGTATCTTGAAATTTGAGTGGTAATGTATCCAATGAATCTTGCGATTTGATTGGTAATGTATCCAAAGTGTCTCGCAATTTGATTGGTAATGTATAAAATGTATCTTGCAATTTGAATGGTAAAATGTATCAAATGTGTGATGCAATTTGAATGGTAAAACGTATCTAATGTATAATGCAATCTGATTGGAAATATATGACACGTATTGTGCACCTGGTTTATCAACCAGGTGGTACCAGGTATTTATTGTATCGTGCGTTTAATGGATAATGCATTCAGTAAATATCAAACCAGTAATATATCTGGTTGGTAATATGACAAACGTAACGTGTGCCTGGTTGATAAGGTATTTATTGTATCATATGTCTAATGGATAATGCATTCAGTAAATACATAGCTGTAACATATCTGGTATTGAATAAAATTTATCACCTCTAGCACAAAAACCTGATAATTTCAGTTTTTTGAAATTTTTAACAGATATTGAATTATTATAAAAATATTTTTTAATCAAAATTCGATTATTTTTATTCTTTAAATTTATTAACAAATAAATTATTAATAATTATGTAACAAAAAATTTCGACTATAAGATTGCAAACTATTTGGTTATGATTTATGTTTATATAGTTGTTCTTAGATCTGGGTTTAGCAGAGCTGTTGTTCATTCTTGTGAATATTATCTTCGACCTTCGTTTATTGCAGAAGTAGGGAAGCCAATTGCTCTTCCTTTTGCAAAACTTTTAATAAATTGGTAGCGTATTAAATAGTAAAACTTGTAGAATAAGGATAACTACGCTTACTTATGATAAGTGTCATTATGAGCTCATTGTAATAAGGTTTCATTTCATATGATATTTTGAATTTTTGTATATATGTGGTGATAGAAAAATATGTGGTGGTAGAAAAATTACTTACAATGAAAAATTCTAAGCTAAACACACCTTAAATTTCGTTACCACTAGAAAATACTTTTTTTACAAAGTGGGACGAATTGGCATCTCTGAAGATGATTTTCAAATTGCATCTGATGTTCAAGTTACAACTGCTGGCATCTCTGCAGATCATGTACAAATAGTTCAAATTGTAAAAAAAAAAGATCATTTAGTTTAAAACTTTTTTTTGGAGAACAATCAAAATCAAAAACGTAATAATAGCAGAGTAAAATAAGACAATATTACAGGTAAATACCTTTCAATTTGAAATAAAAAAATATTTTACAGGAAATCGACATCTTTTTGACTTTTATTAATTTTATGCAGAAGATAAATATGGAAATTAGTATAGGAAAACCGGATCCTACTATTCAATTTTCCGGACAATAAAAATGTACCGACAACAATGAAATACATCATTATACTTTTTCATATATATTTGGATTTGTATAAGAGATACAGAATATCAATTCGAAAGGTATTCGTAAGGTACCGTCAATTACACAGTATCAATTCGTAAGGAACACTCTTTATAAATGTGGTTTGAAATTTTTTCTTAAAATTCCACTGTAATTAAATTAAATTAATTTGTGCATAAGTAAGGAGTATAGTTTCTTCATTTAGGCATTACTTCTGTATTGCAAAATAATGTTGATACAATATCAATTCGTAAGGTTAGGAGCACTCTTTTTCACTTCAAAGTTAAAATGCTTTTGGTTTCAATAACATTGAAGTGGTAGCCAAAACGAAAACCTATAGAATACATTTCATCATAAATTTGCTAACTTTTCATTCATTTATATTGTGGTTTATAACTTTCTCATAATAAGGCCTAAAATTTTTAATTTTTGGTTTTCTTCAGGCACGATATGTGTTGTGGTTAGTTTTCCTTTCATCTTCAGCTCTTGTCCCGGATGCAACAAGGCCAGTCCGTTTGCCATGACCATTCTGCTCATCCCTTTGGTGATCATCTTCCAGGTGGGATGGGCAGCTGTCCAGGTGTCCCACATGTCACTTATACCTGCCATCACTCCTCATGAAAGCGAAAGAGACTTTCTCAATGTTCTCAGGTGAATGAATGTTCTCTTTAATACAGTCGGATTTAAATTTTTGAAAAAATAAACTGTGGGCAAAATAAATCAGGCATAAAAGAAAGAATAAAAATTTGCATTGGAATATGGGATTTCAAACTCCATCAAGAAAATGTTTTCAATTATACAAGAATAATAAACGAAAATAATACTGTATTTCCACTCATGTTACATATTTACAAACATGTAATATGCTGAAACCAATTAATATCAGTTTGAGCACGTAAATTCAACTCAAGTTACATATTGAAACTAATGAGTGAAAGGTTCGAAATTGGTTTCAGATGCATTTGCGTGCATACATTCAAATCTCGTTTCATGTGTAATGCACAATGCGATCGGGGCGGAGGCACTTATCTGTTTTAGTTTCATGCTTATGTTTACCTCATAAGTGAAGCGATCTCCGCAGCAAATAAAGAGGTTTAACCCCTTGGGGACGGGTGATTCATAAAAGCATTCGTACAAAATTAGACTCAGGATGTAAATGAATAAAAAACGGTAGCTTAAATGTAAGCTTTGCTCATTTGACAGACTTACTTTGCTTTTGCTTTAATTAATGTTAGTTTATTCATATATATATAATCAATGTTAGTTCAAAGTAGAACTAAATAATTTTATTTTGAACAAAAGTAATGGTGAATTAAATAAATCAAACAATTATAACCCCACCCACAAATAAACTACTAAAATACTACTTTGGTTACCAGTTTTATCTTTTTACCCTGATTGATACGGTTTTATGCTGCCACGTATTTGTGACAGTCGGCCCGAAAGAGTTAATGGGCTCTTTACGTAACAAATTTTGCTTTGTATTTTTATGAGGAAGTATATGAGGATATATTATGAGGAAACTTCTTCGTACCCTTCAGAACTGCTTAGCTCAGTTAACAGTTAATTTAGCTGGGTCACATAATGAGAATTTGGCTAGTTATCCATTAAATATATTTTTGCACGCCTATCATTCTTAAAGATATTTCGAACAACAACATCAAAGTATTATATTCAAGATGACCATCGTCCTCAGGAAAACTAAGATAACTGGTAGCACTATGTTTAAAAGAACATTCGAAAACTATCCCCTGTAACTTCCCGATTGTTTAAAAAAATTATTTCTCAGTGAGAATCTCTATGAGAGATGTCTAATTTCTGAATATTAAACTGGAAAGTTAAAGCAGTTGAGTTGTCAAATAACCTTTAAAAAATTTCACTACCATCTTCTTAGTTGTCAGAGAACACTGCTTAGCTTAACCCCTTGGGGACGGGTGATTCAGAAAAGCATTCGTACAAAATCAGAATCAAGTTGCAATTAAATAAAAAACGGTAACTTAAATGTAGTCGTTACTAATTTGACAGACTTACTTTGCTTTTATTTTAATTATTGTTAGTTTAATCATATATATAATCAATGTTAATTCAAAGTATAACTAAATAGTTTTATTTTGAACAAAGTAATGGTGAATTAAATAAATCAAAAAATTATAACTCCGCCTACAAATAAACTTGTAAAGAAATACTTTGATTACCAGTTTTATCTTCTTACCCTGATTGATACGGTTTTTTGCTGTCACGTATTTGTGACAGTCGGCGCGAAAGGGTTAATCATATTAAACAACAAAAGCTAAAATCTAAATTATTTAATCTAGGTATGCTATCAACACAGCCTCTGATATAGGAACGTATGTCATCGTTTGGGCAGTGTTTGATCTGACGAGGCAGCCGACTGGTGATGTGAAAGCTATTAACAACAATTACGCTGAAAAATTTCTGGTAAGTCATCAGATGTTATAGTTTGTAAAACTGATAATAAGAACTTTAAATTCAGGTTATATCATATTAAGGGTTTCCAACTTTTTACGCTTTTTAGGGAAATTTTGTCTAAATGGTTCATGTTTTAATGTATGATTCTATATTTTTTAAATTTAATTTAAAGTTATTTTGCAACATGTAAACTTAAATTCCTATGAAACGCTAACATGTCAATAGCTCTCTCGTCTAAAGCTTTTATTTTGTTGGCAAAATTGCCAAACATTCTCAACGTTTTAATTTTCAAATGTCTATACACTGCCCTTACATGACTCCCACATATCTTAAAGTTTTCTTTAAAAGTGCTCCTTGACATCAAGTTAGAAGTTCTAATCCTTCGATTTTAATTTCAATATTAAAGTTAACAAAATTCAGTAGATAAAAATTTGATTACAGAGCTCAATCTAATTTTAATATTTTTTATTATTTATAAATTTAATAAATTTTTTTAATAAATTTATTAATAAATTTTTGTTGTTGAATTTTTTTTTATCGATGCACCTAGAAGTCAAGTAAGGAGACCTCACTCTATGATATTAATATCAATTTAACTATATGATTTTATGATATTAATATCAAGTTCACAATTTAAAGGAAGATTTGATTACAGGACTCCTAAGGACCTTTCTCTTTAAAAAAAAAATTGCCATAGAGTTAGGTTAAAAGTTTTAACACTATGGTGTTAATTTCAATATTATTGTTAGAGCCGAGGTGAATCAGGGGATAAAGCGTTCGCCTTCCAATGAGGTGAACCGGGTTCCAATCCCAGTGATGGCTGGTCAATACGAATTCCGCAGCCGGGTAGCTCCGACCACAGTGCTGACGAAAAGTATCAGTGGTAGACGGATCATGGGATAGACTCCCTTTACCGTTACGTTAACCGTGGGAGATTTTAATGGTTTTCCTCTCCATGTTTCGAAAATGTGGATTAGTTCCATCAAAAAAAGTCCTCCAGGAAGGCAAATTTCGTCCAATACTTGATCCAGGAGTTCCCTTGTCTTATAGATTGGGTTCAAAATTACAAGACTACGGAATTGAACATCAGTAGTCGTAAACCAAAGATTGAGTCAGATGTTCAACGTAGGTTGGAAAAAAAATATTATTGTTAACAACTCAGTAAAAGAAAATTTGATTACAGGCTCCCATGAACCGCAAAATTCTTTTAAAAAAATATTCCATGAATTCAGGTAAGAAGTTCTAATTCTGTGTTGTGAATTTCAGTATTAAAGTTAAGGTATACCTAATCAGGGCATACCTAAAGCTTCAAAAAATTTTTTTTTAAAAAAAAAGGAGTGGAATGACAAGAAATTTCTAAACTAATACTTTGTTTTCAGGTCATCGTCTTGATCGTCGTCGGAGTTGGTTCCTTTTTCTCCATTATGTTCCACATAGGAGTGAAGGAGGTGCCATCTCAGTCGGCACACTCGTCAGAGAAGGATGATGACAGTATAGAGCGACAGAAGGAAGAGGAATTCAGAAAGAATATCCATCTATCGTGGAGAGGATGGATTAGAGAAAAGCATTTTTATCAGGTAATGCAACAGAATTTTTTTTTCTGTTTTAGTCTGTTTTTAGAAATTTCATTATGTTGAATCAGCGAATTTTAGCAAATAATATGCTATTATTACGATTTTTGTGAGTTCGTAGCAATTATTTATAACTGTTGGGCAAAGTCTTGTTTATTTCAAACCAGCACCCTCTTTTATTTTTATTGAAATTGGCGTAATATTTCATTAAATGAGGAAATCGACATTCTATTATTATTTTTTTTTTAAAAAAATAAGATGCGTGTATGATTTAGTTCTTTTAGTGTATGAAAAGTTACTCCGCCACTTTTTAAATGACACCATTTCTAAAAGATACAAGCACGATCTTTCGAATTGTGTCACGTACGATATTCCATATCATTTGCTGATAAAATATTGTTTACACAGAGTTAGTATATTTTATAACTGTCGTTAAATAGCCGATCCAATTTAGGGTCTACGACTACTGATGATCAACTCCATAGCCATTAAATTTTGAACCCAATCCAGAAGACAAGGGAACTCCTGGATCAAGTATGAGGAGAAATTCACCTTCGTAGAGGACTTTTTGATGGAGCTAATCCGTGTTTACTTTACATGAGGAGGAAAACCACGAAAACTTCTCACTATTAGCCTGACAGCAATAGGACTCTAACCCATGATCTGTTGACCATTAAGGATATATTACGTCACCACTGTGGTTGGTGTTAGCCGGGGGCGGAATTCGTATTGACCAGTCATCACTGGGATTCGAACCCGATTCACCTCATTGGAAGACCGACGCTCTATCCCCTGAGCCATCACAGCTCAAAATTACAATGTTACTTCTAGACACCGGCGAGAACTTTTAATGGAACTAAATTTAATTTGCGTTACATGGAGAGGAAAACCACGAAAACCTCCCATTGTTAGCTTGATGGTAAGGGGACTCTAACCCATGATCCGCCTACCACTGAGGATATTTAATGAGAACTTTGTAGGTAATGTGCAAATCATCTACAAGTTTGCGGATTATGTTAGAAATTTGAGAAATGAAAAAATTTTTGACACTTTAACGGATCTCCCTAATCATTCTACACATTATCAAGATCAGGGGTTTCCAACTTACATGAGGCCGGGGCCACAATTAAAAACACAAATCAAATGGCGGGCCGCAAATTTACCATAATTTTATGTAGGACTCTTTTATGTTTGAAGGAACATTAAATATTACTGTCAGATTTTTACCAATTTGTACAAAACAAAAGTATTAAATTACAAATTAAAATAAGAAATAGGCTTTTAAAAATATTTAATTGCATATTAATAATACTTTTAAAAATATTAAATAAATAATAAAAATTCGGGCTACAATAACTTTACTATGTACCTTTGTATTAAACAATTAACGTGCAACAGATATCTAATTGTTATGATATAAAACTTTAAAAAGGTTGGCATTAAGACTTACCTAGTAGCACACAAAATATTCAATGAGAAAATTGAGGTTTGTCTGCTGTAGAATAGATATCTATAGATGTAGAATAGATATTTACATTTTAAATTTAAAATTTACAAATGTGTGTGTAAATATTTTCGTCCAAAATGAGTGGTTTCAAAAAGTTAAATCGGAGAATTTCTTCGCTAAAATTTCTGATACGCACATGCTAAATTATATTCCCAAAATACAAAAAAATTAAATAAAAAAGAGCAACATACACGATTATTTTTGTATTTGAATAAATATTTTCTTGGATGCAAAATCTGAGAAATAAATTTCTTTGCATCGTTGGTGTGTTAAATTTCACAGAAATGAAAAAAGTATTTCAAACCCATATAGATTTTTTACGAAAATTGTCCGCAAAAAAAATGACAAATGATATATTTTAATTCGCGGGTCACAAAAAAAAGGCTTCGCGGGCCGTTAGTTGGAAACCCCTGATCTAGATAGTGTGCCATACCTGCCAACTCTTCCGGAAGATTTTATTTTCATATTTAAAGTGGTAGCAATACACAGGTTATTCCAACTTACTTTTTAAATTGTAATGATAATTATAAATGAGTTTGACCACCACTACATATAAATAATAACAATAAATATATGAAAGCATAATAATCCTTGCTCAAGCGAATTTCAACGAGATCAAAATATAAATATATTTTTGAGTCAGATTGTTTTTCGTTTATTGTTCTACAACCACTCTGAAAACCCATTCTCGGAAAGAGTGAAAGTTGGCAGGTATGGTATGCGATATAACTGATTTCTACACTTTAACGGTAACGTTATAAATAAATAATGGTGTTAATGAATAGTTGTTCCTTTTGATGAAATGGAATATTTTTGCTACGAATTTTTATTTTCAGAATAAATAGCAGGCTTGCCAAAGTAATCATATATGGCAGTACTTTTACTTTCGTTACTTGTACCGCCGGTACAAGTAAAAAGTACGTAGTTTATCCTAATTCTCGTTACTTTTTAAATTTAGTACTTTTACTTGTACTTTCGTTACTTTTTTAGGGAAAAAGTACAAGTATTTGTAACGGAGATGTCGAATGAAATCGTTACTTTTTTCTAAAACTCGGTCAGCTTTCTAAAAATAAAAAATAAAAAAATGCTTTCGAAATGCAATTATTTTGAAAAATGAATAAAAGTATTAATTAGCAAGTTATTTTCATTTATTTTCGAGTTTTATGCATTTGTTTAATAAAATTTTAAAAAAAAATGATGGATTTTGTTATTACGTTTTTAAATTTTCTTTTTGAACTCACTAGTAATACATTTTTGTCTTAATACATTTTTTACTAAATGCATTTTTACCTAGTACATTTTTTACTAAAATTATGTTTATGCCCGACCTTGTCAAACAACGCCCAGTCAAATCTCTAAGAACTTCAGAACTATTTGTGCTATTGTAAACTATTATAATTACTATTTTAACTCTTGAAAACTCGAAGGTATTAATTTAGCCGCTGATACTAAAATTCGTTTACAAATTTTAATTATTCCGTTAGGCAGAAATGTTCGGAAAATGATTTCCTCGCATGACTTGAGCATTAGCCATTGTTACAAATAAAACTGTAGACTGTTCTGTTTCAACTTATACTGCACATTCAATTATTTTTTACTAGCTCAAAGATCACAAAGCTATCTGAAACCCCGTGTTTGCTTTGTTTATGTTTGTGCTTTTAAAACGCGTTTCTATAGAGTTAAAAATTTTTAAATCAATGGTAATTTAAATAAATAAAAATAATAAACTAAAAATTAAAATCAATAGATAAAATTTCTTTTTCGCGCAAATCCATAAAAAGTTTGATATTAAAATTATATTTGATTTTAAAATTATATTATACGATTATATTATAAAATTATATTATAATATTCTTCCGAATTTAAAAATAAATTAATGTCCATAACTTTCAAAATTAAAAATAATTAAATAAATAACAACAATTTTGCAAAAACATTAAAGAACATAAGAATATTATTCAATAAAATTTTAGGTTACTTTGAATTTTCGATTTCCTAGAAATGTACTTTTAAATCGTTACTTTTTTTGTTTAGTACTTGTACTTTTACTTGTACTTTTTACTCGTTACTTTTTAAAATAAGAACTTTTTACTTTTTACTCGTTACTTTTTTTAAAAATACTTGTACTTTTACTCGTTACTTTTTAAAAGTAACGTTGCCATATATGAAAGTAACTAATTTAAAAAAAAAGTAGTGAGAAAGTCATTTCACAATCAGCATTTGCGACTGCCTGGTACAAAATTTGCATTGAACGTCATTTCATTTCATTTCATTCATCATGCATTTCATTTTTCAAAAGCAATTTGATTTTGATTATTTTTGAAAAATTACTGTAAAAATATGTTTTAGTTTGTTTATACTACCAGTTAAATACATCTTCCAGTACCAGTTTGTTTTTATACCAGTTTGTTTTAAAAGACCCGAATTAGTGACAGGCTTGCGTTAGTATCCGACTTTGAAAAAATTGAGGAAATATTATTTCATTGTCAGCATTTACATCTGCCAGATGCAAAATTTTTGTTTTGATCGATCCTATTTCATTCACTAAGACTTTTAAATCATCAATGCATTATATTTTTCAAGAACATATTGGTTTTGATTACATTTGTAAAAAACTACTATTAAAATAATTTTGTTGTCTTCTTTTATAATAAAAAAAAGTATGTTTATATGATTTATTGGTATATTTAATAATTAGCTTTTGAAGTTGTAATTTTAAAAAGCAACTTCTCCTAAGAAAAAATTTACATTGAAAAAAATAGACGTATTCAGTCAATGCATTTTGTTTTTCATTTAAGAACGTTTTAATTTTGATTATCTTTTAAAAACAAATGTTAAAATAATTTTGTTTTTATTTTTTTTGAAAAAAAGTGTGTTTACAAGATTTATTGGTAAATTATATATTTAGTTTAAAATTTTTTTAATACTACAAAGCGACTTTTTCTAAAAAACAATTAAGGGTGATAGAAATCGTATTCAGTCAGTGCCTTATGCCTTTCCTTCAAAAAATACCTTTCCTTTCTTTGAAAAAAACATTATGTTATATTTAATAATTAGTTTTGCTTTTTCGATAATTTTGTTGAGATTTTTCAGAAAGAAAAAAGTGTGTTCATAAGAGTTATTGGTAAATTATATAACTTAAATTTTTTTTAATTCTACGAAGCTACTTAGTCTAGAAAAAATTCAGGCTAAAAAAACATCGCATTAAGCCAATGCATTATGTTTTTCTTTCAATAACATTCTTATCTTAATTATCTTAGAAATAATTAATTTAAAAATAATTTATTGCGATTTTTTTGAAAAGAAAAAAGTGTATTTAGATGATTTATTGGTAAATTATATAATAAGTTTAAAAATTTTTTAATTCCACGAGGTAACTTTTTCTGTGTAATAAATCAGTTAGGAAAAAAAATGTCGTATTCTTTATCAATCGAAGAACTATCTAAAAAAAGATATTTTTGAAGGTCATATTTACAAAAATGTATTTGTTTGACGTTTATTGCAGTCACGCAAAAAACTAGAGACAGACAATTTAAGTGTTTACTAGTGACTAGAATTTTAAATTAAGCATGCAAATGGTTCGATATACTGGTTTTTAGTGAAACTCTTTTGCTTCATCGTATAATAAATGATTACGCAAAGTAATTTAGCTTTGTTTTTTCGTTTCCATTTTTTAGATTTAGTAGAAAAACTTCTTCAATAAAAAAAAATACTTCGGTTTTTTAAGCCACAAAAATTCAAATTTAAGGAAATAATTATTTTAATAGGCTGTTCAAATATTGCCTAAGCACCTAAAAGGGAAGGGGCCTGTGATTTGCATCGATGGGGTTGAGGAGGCATGAGCAACGCTAGAATAAGTCAATAAAATCTCAATATATGACTTTTTTTAAAGAAATTTTTTTTATTTGTAATATTAACAAACAAATTAGGGAAAAAAAATATTCGCTTGAAAAGTTTCAAATTCAAAACGTTAAAAGAAAAAGGTCCAAAGAGAAAAATTCAGAGGTCATGAGTTTCGATCGCAATTTAAAAAAAAACATAAGATACCAAAAGAATACTCAATTCATAATTTTAAATTTGTTTTTATGTAATTAAGACAAAAATGTTCGTAAAAGTAAAGGGAACAAGAATTAGTGAAAACATGAATGAAAGAAAGATAAAAAGAAAAAGATTTAAAAAAAAAAACAGGAATGAAACATTGGTTTGTTGCAACGATTGGAAACTTCTACATCATCATTAGCATTTATAAGGGTGCCTGCAGCCATTTACGCCCCTTTAGATTGGAAATTTCAAAAAGATAATAAAATTGTCAAGATCTGTTCAAGACATTTTATGTCATACGTAACCACTTAAAATTATTTTTCGAGTTAATGGAAATACATTAAGTTACCTAGGAAACGCTTTTCCGACACTCAAGTGGTAGCTAAACTTAAGTAATTTCCGGTGTCGTTGAAAAAACTCAGCTACCTCTTTCTTTTTATTTATTCCAGGTTCTGGCAACACTGGGTAACGCAAGCATACAAGTACATGCATAACTTATGATATGAGTGTAGCTCTCTTAGAGAACAAAATCCATATTGTACTTACCTTAGTCATAAAATTCATCAGATCTAAATACGAGGGTTGTTTTTTTTTAAGTAAGGGCAATTTGAAAATAACAACCAAACGAATCGAACATTTTCAAGAAGCAAATTTATTTTCAGATTCTACATACGTTTCTCTATTTTTTCCCCCAACATAGTTGACAAGTTTGTTTGATTTGTTAAATTTGAACATTTTAAATTAACAGAATTGACCGTACAGTTTACCTATACAGCTGCAACTGAGCACAGTTGTCCACAAGGAATACCGAGACACGACACAAGCACTCGTTGCGACGCACGCGCCACCTGTTAGTGTACACAACAAAACGGCCCTTACTTAAAAAAAAAAATCCTCGTATTATTAAATATTTATGGCCAGATAAATTCAGCTCCAACGAAAAAAAAAACGAGATAAAAAAAGTTTTAAGCTGCATCGGAAATGTGATAAATTCCTTTTTTATTAACTGTGCCAAATTGCTAAACTACATGGTTTTAACCCCGTAACATATTTCAGAAAAATTGGACCAAAAATAGAAAATTTTTCTGACTGTTTAATTTTGTTCTTTATATTGTTAAAAAATGGTTTTTTATTGCAAAAATAAAATTTTAAATGCAATAACTACTGTATTTATAATTTTTGCTTGCGCATAAAAAAGTAATGGATTACACACACATCTTATTCAATTAGAGCAAATTAAATAATATTTTGAAACTAAATATAACTAGTGTAATATGACATAAAACACAATATGATTTTCAAGACATATAAATTTTACAAATCTTTTACAGTATGGTATATTACCAAACCCCCACCCACATCCCTTCCTCTACTGAAGTCGTAATCGGTGAATACTTAGGACCACTATTTCCATCTTATAGTGAATTAAGTATCCTAAAGTAGAAACGAACTCATCTTGGGCTTCACAAGATAGAAATGTTAATTTTTGAACGAATTTGACTATGTTAATTTTAATGAACATTTAACAGTAATGACTGAAAAATGTAAAATAAACATAAATTTAAATTTATTCATAGACCAAAATCATTAAATAACATTAAAACAGATTTTTATGTGTTTAATTGAACGAATTTGACTATGTTTATTTTAATGAACATTTAACAGTAATTACNAGAAATGACTTAAGCAAAAAGTTTTATTTTAACTGACAAATACTATATTATAATTTAAACTTTTTCTCTGACTATACTCATTTTCTTACTCTTTTTTTTGTTTTTTATGCATTTTACATTTCTGTGATAAAATAAAAAACTTTTAGTTGTTCTGCTTCTGAACACTGATGAAAACACATAATGATGAGCTTCATCAACAATCAAAAATATATACATTTATTTTACAAATTCCATATTATTAGGGTGGCGCCCTTCAGAGAATTAAAAATGCAAAATTATCTTCATTCTATTTACGCCGGATGTAAGCCGATGCTTTACATCCGGCGTTCAGTGGCAGACTACTATTTCATACTGTTTTACAACACATGGCTTTAGCCCTCTGGTGGGAAAGACTTTAAAACAAAACTTACAACAGTTACTTTTCTCAACAACTGAAATTTAGAATAGTGTGATTAAGAAAAATATGTGAACTGTTTGCAATTTCAAATTAATATTGAAATGTACAGGTTTAGAATTTTCTACAGTGAAAAGTTTTCGGAACTTCAGTATTCAAAAAGGTATACAAAAGCTAGACGTTCAGAGCGTATCCAATGAGCGAGCAAAGGGAGCAATGGATTGCGAAGCAATCCGAAATGAACTGCGAAAGCAGCTCCGGGGGTTGGTGAGCATTAGCGAGCAGGGGGCGAAGCCTCCTAGTATGATATAAAACACAACAATATAATTTTTAATACATAAATTTTACAAATCTTTTACAGCAGTGTTTCCCAAAGTGTGGCACGCGTACCCCCAGGGGTACGGGAACAGTTCAGCGGGGGTACGCTTTTTATACGAAATATCTTGCAACAAACGAAAATTTCAAAAAAATTTATTTAAAAGCAAAGCTAACCATGAACATTTACGATTATATATTTTTCTATTGACTATTTTTTGCGGAGTTAACAGTTAATAATTAGTGGTGTCAACAGCCAGTTGTGATTTTTAACTTTTGTGCAATTCTTTTATAGTAAAAAATACATTCATTTTTTTAATTAGTGGTACAAAGCGTTGCGAAAATTTTAGAAAGGGTACACAACTGTCATAAGTTTGGGAAACACTGTTTTACAGTATGGTATATTACCAAACCCCACACACATCCTTTCCTCTACTGAAGTCGTAATCGGTGATAACCTAGGACCACTATTTCCATCTTATAGTGAATTAAGTATTAAAACAGATTTTTATGTGTATAGATTTGAACGAATTTGACTATATTTATTTTAATGAACATTTAACAGTAATTACTGAAAAATGTAAAATACACACAAATTTAGATTTATTCTTAGACCAATAAAATTACTCTCTCAAATGAACATAAAGAGCCTGAGTAGGCGTCCCTAGCGGCGCATGATGACATTTCCAGACAAGGATTTTTATGGTATTCTCAATCATTTTTAAGTGGTATACCCTTCCTCCGAATTCGTTAAAGCCATGATGAGTCACTTTGTATATTGGTTTTGCTCATTAAAAGTAAAATTAATATTTATTTAATAAATAATTAAATCTATAAAAGTAAAATTTTATTCCATAAATATATTGTTCACTTACATTTATTTAATAATAAATTATCCTCTTCGGCTATTTTTTTCATAAAATTCAACTCATTCAAATCAGTTTGAAATTTTTCATGTTTGAATGTACACTTGAAATGCTTTTATTTCTGGAATTACAGTAAAATTACATCCCGTCTTGTAGCCAATGATTGTCCCTTTGTATTGTCAAAAATTCTCATCCAATATTTCTTTTACAGGTTAGCTTATTGTACATGTTGACAAGATTGTTCCAAAACATGGGAATGGTTTTCATGCCTCTTTACTTACAAGAGTCACTCAAGGCTAACAGTGTAAGTTATTTATTTATTGCACGTTTGTTATCGTCCAATTGAAAGTCCCGCGAGCTTTCTACGATTTTTGGGAAAATTTCTTCGCTAGGTGTGTTTTAATGTAATACTGCGCTTTGTTTCATAAATTTGATTTAAATTTATTTTCCCCACCACTGCAACGCTTTTGTTTTTAATTGTCTACCACTTTATAAAATTATTTCAAATAATTGGAAGTAGTAGTTGGTTAAATTATCAACAACTTTTAATGTTTTAACCTCGGTCTTTGGATTGAAATAACTGAATATTTAGACAAAAAAAGCTCGGTCTTTGGAGTTACACCACGCATTGGTGGACTAAATTGGTACAAAATATAGCAACAATTGTTACAGATTGTCGCTATGTATTTAATTTCGGAACATTAGTTAAAAGGAACACCAGATAATGGTTGAAAATCAAATATATAAATAAAAATTTAATACTTAAATTGGTAGCATAATTTAAACATAATTTTATTTTAAAATTAAAGAGTGTTGAATGTCGAAAATTTTCATTTAAAGCATAAATTTTTGACATAAATTCATTGTTGTAACTGAGTCAAAAAAGTAAAAGGTTGGCATAATTTCATTTTATTAATATCTCAATTTAACAATTTATTTGCTGCCGCGCCATATAAATAATAATTTTTTTTTTAAATAAACACACATAGGCACGAAGAATTCATTCTGTCCTAGAGCCATAAAAAGACAGATATAACATTTTTATTTTATTTTTGGTATATTTTGGATATAAAAATTACACGCAATATAAAAATTATACCCTTCTTTTTTTTTTTTTTAAATTAAAGTAGTCGTTAAGAGTTTTGCTAGACATAATTAAAATTAAAACTTTTGCCTGATAGCTTAAGTCCCTGTGGCAGAGTTGCGGTGACTTTGCGACATTGTCGCAGAACGTTTGTAAAGTTTTTGCATAAAGATTTTTTTATTTGGGATGGGCAAAAAATTGATTTTCCTTTGCGCATTATTTTTTGAAAGAAGTTTTTTTTTTCGGCAAATTTTTTTTCTTCAAAGATGCTTTTCGTACGCATTAGAGGGGAAAGAAATAATAAAGATTTTTCTATTCTCATTTGGGATTTGAAAAAAAAAATCGGTAATGTCTGGCTTTCGCAAATTGATGATATAAAATAAAAAACCGAAATCGCAAAAGTTTAAAACATAGTTTGCTCTAGAAATGATGCTCTTTCATTCTTTTTTCTTCTTTTCTTGAAAGAACACCATATTTTACATACTAATAAAGTATGGCTGAGTTGTTTTTTTGTAACATATTCAGATTTGTAGCAAGCAAACTAATCATTGCGATACATTTGCAGCTTTCTTTTTAAATTTATTTGAAATTAAAATGATTCAATATTTTTAATATGATATGACGCACATGAGAAAGTTAAAATGGCGCATTTGACTCTTTTATCGCTCAAAACTCGTACCGATTCCATCTCAAATTTATGTAGTGTTTTGATAATTTTGGCAATTATTGCTATGAATTTTCACTTGGTTTTTAAACGCTAAACGTACCATAAACGGTCAAATGACCGTTTAAGAACTTTTGAACTAAGAACCATCGTGAATTATTTAGCATTGAGTGAGTTCCTTGCAGTCAGGAGGCAGAGTGGTAGCTATGAGGGGGAATTGAAGCACCTTGTTTGAATAAATAAAAATATTGAAAATAAAAGAAAGCAGCTTGCTTTAAACTATGTGTGGCTATAGAACTGGATGCAGGTTGATGGTCGACGTGGGGAAAAGCTTGATAGATCTTTCAATATTGTTGTTGTTGAATCTGATACTATTGGTGCATCTGTGATTAAGAAATTTGTCGAGGCCATTATTTATTTTGATGATTGTAAGGCGTCGGATGTATGCTATAGGTCTGAATTTTGTATCTTTTTTGTAGTTTTCGAAGGTGAATATTTGGTTGAAGTTAGCTGTATTGCATTTTATGGCTTCGTAGAAGTTATACACAAATCAGACTACTAAACAATTTGTAAAATATTTTACAAAGTGGTAGATAAACTGAAACTAAAACTTTTAGAATTTTTGATTGCTTTACTTGCAATTTCAAAGCTTTCCCATAAAAGAGGTGGAACAAAGAGACTATTCGTGTGAACTTTCGAATAATTTGCAAGTAGAATGCAAAGTAACTTTAAATGAAATTTACAAAATATAGAGTCATACGTAAAAACCATAACTTAGACACTGGAAGACATTTTTCCTAAAAGTGTAGAAAGTTTTGTCTATTAAAATGTGTGTGAGTATAGGGTTGCCAACTACTACGCTTTTTGTAAAATATTTTGTGGAGCTGTAGACAATTAAAAACGAAAGTTTTCAGAATTTTTGGTAATTTTGCCAAAATTTTGAAAGAGAGAAAGAGAGAGAGAGAGAGAGCTGGAACAATGTGGCGCCTTATATATGAACTCTTTAAGTAATTTAAGTGTAGTGGTGTGGAAAATAACTGTTAATCAAATTTAAAAAAAAAGAAAAGGATTTGAACATAAATTTAATTACCACTGGAAGATATTTTTCTAAAAAGCGTAGAAAGCAGGCAGCCCTTAGGGAGCACTGACTGGTAAAAGCAGGGTGGCAGCAGTCTGGGAAAATTGAAAAAGTGACGAAAAATATTTAATGAGTTTATCATAGATTTTAAAATCTTCATTCAGTCGTAAAATAAATATTTAACTTACAAATATGTTTGATCGATGGTAGTTATTTTTCTTGTTTCTTCGATCTTTTTTATTTTTATTTTTTGGGAATATGACTACCAGCAAGAGCCAGCGTTTTCTGTACTGATAATATAATACCGTAAAACGTACTAATACCATGTTAACCCCCAAAACAGACTTCCGCAAGTTGTTTGCACAAATAATACAATGAGGGTCGTGGTGACTCAAGGGATAGAGCGCTCGCCTCCCAATGAAGTGAATCATGTTGGAATCCCAGCCTTGGCTGGTCGATACGAATGCCGCACCCGGCTCACACCTACAACAGTGCTGACGTAAAATATACTCAGTGGTAGACGGATCATGGGTTAAAGTCCCTTTGCTGTCAGACTAACCGTGGGAGGTTTTCGTGATTTTCCACTCCATGTAATGTAAATGCGGGTTAGTTTCATCAAAAAGTCCTCCACGAAGGCAAAATTTCTCCCAATACTTGATCCTGGAGTCCCCTTGTTTACTGGATTTGGTTTAAAATTTCAAAGCTATGAAGTTGAACATTGGTAGTCGTAATCCCCCCCCCAAAAAAAAAATACGTCAGCTGTTTAACGACTGTTATAAAATAAATTAAAATAATGAGGGTTCAACTTATAAGTATTTATTATGAAAAATTGAACTTATGGTGTTATCTGTATCGTTTCAGGATTTTATCGCTAAGATTCCACTAGTGATGAATATAAGTGGATTTGTAGTCTCCTGTACACTTCCTAAATTTTTTAGAGTCTTGAGTAAAAAAGTAAGTTGTTACAAAGTTTTAAACGTTTTTAAATTTCATATAAAACAGTAGTATTGAAAATTATAATTTATTTCGTTAGCATCTTTCAACATCGTTTCAGAAAATGCTTTCTTAAAAAGATGAAATTATATCTTCAAACAATAAAATGAAGATTTCCTGACAAAAAGTTCTTTAAAAATCAATTACGAACAAATATTGATGGTATTTGTCGATCTTCTTAAACCTTATAAATACCTAGTGATTTAAAATTATTGAGATTAAAATTATTGGTGATTTAAAATTATTGGTGAAAGAAATTTTTAAAACAAAATTTAAGTTTTTATAATGAGAAAGAAATGTTTAAGAAAAATCTGCAGATATTTGAAAGAAAATGGGATTTTCTCTCAAAAACTCATAAGATAATTGCTTGCTTAGCTATTATTTCGGAGAAACAAAATATTAATATCTACTGTGAAATACAGAGGTTGGACAAAAATATGGAAATTCATCTATTTTAAATGTATGTAAACAATTTTACTTTTAGAATCGAATGTTTTTGAAAAACAGTTGGCATGATACCCAAGTCACAATTTTTGATGGTTTTCCATTGATGGACCAACATAATCTTGATAGTAACCATCAGTAATTCCATCATGAACCCTTATATTTTTTGATAGTAACCAACATAAGTAACCATCACTCCAATAGACTGATTTACGATAGTCCAACTTAAGTAACCATCACTCCAATAGACTGATTTACGATAGTCCAACATAAGAATAGCAGCTTGTTTTGATGGGTTGTTCATGTTAAACCAGCAGAAATTTCCATCATTGATTCTTAGAAATCAAATCTTGGAATTGTCATGAACCACCATCTCCTCAACGTAGCAATTCGGTCTGATTTATGATGGGCTGAACCAACTGCTGAACCAACAAGAATTCCCATTAAATCATCATGGAAATGTTTCGTTGGAACTATCATGGATCTTCATGAATTGTCGGTTCTTGAGAATCAAATTCTCTTGCTGGTTAACCATCAAAGTATTAAAGTAGCAATTTCCATCATGAAATGATGGAAGTTTGTTGGTATACCAAACACCATGAGCACAGAATGGAAAATGTTGGATGACGGTGACCATCAAATGAAGTTGAATCATCAAATGAGGTTGGACCATCATGAAACGTACTGAAAACAACATGAACCATCAAAAGTTTTTGATGGGACCATCAGGAATTTTGTCTTCGGATTTTAGAAATGGTCATTTTTCCCCATGCAAAAATAAAATTTATCAAAATGAAGAAAGGAAGTTTCTAACCTTTTTCTGGCTTTAATACTAGCAATTTAGAAATTATTTTATTAAGTTGAGATATTTATATAAGAATGCTTTTAAAATTATAACTTCCTGCTTTCATTTTTTGTCGATGCAAATTTTGCTTGAGTGAAAAAGATGCCATTTCTAATAATTATTCTTTATTCAGAAGTATCGCATTTTTTGTAAAGGAAAGCTTCAATCATGATCTTTCAAACTATGCCAACAGTTTTGCGGCATAAAGCCTTTCTAAACATTTTTGCTGATAAAAGAAAGATGGCTTACTTGAATTAGTATGGAAGTGTTTCCATATTTTCATCCAACCTCTCTATTAGTATGGATTAAAACGTTATTCATTAATATTTTATACTTGGTTTAATATGATTAATGTGACTGATGCGGACGCCTACGTTGAAAGGCCCTGAATAACAACATTAAAAAAATCAGAATTTCAAAAACATTTTCTGACCAAGTGTTTCAATTAATCTCAACATCCCAAATTCTACTTCAAGGTATAACTTAAATCTTTCCTGAACTATTTGGAGCTCTAGGAAAACAAAAGTACAATGCTCAAAATTTGAAATAATTTTAAACAGAGCAATATATTTATACATTTATAATCGATATAAGTTCATAAAATCAATAAACAACATGCTTAACTGTTAGCGCGCAACATGCTTAATTTTAAAAATAATTCTAGTTACTTTCATAAATTTCCTCCTTTGTTCACGTTATTATTTCATTTTTTTGAAGCATTGGTGCATTATAAAGAGTAAATTTTATCTCAGGATAATTATACATATTTCGAAATGCCTCTGTCATAAAGGAATGCATCCTGAAGAGAACCTTAGCATTTATTTCATTTTATTATATTTCTATTTCCATTACGCCATGTTATTATATATTTCTATTATACCATGTTATTATATATTTCCATTATATGTTATAAAGAGTAATATTACGCATTATAAAGAGTAATTTTTATCTTAGAATAATTATTCTTTATACAGAAATATCGCATTTATTGTAAAGGATGTGTCCTGATGAAGATCTTTGCGCTTTCCCAATCTTTCCTTGTTTTCTTCCTTGTGTTTATATATATATCCTGCTCTAATGAGTGCTGATACGATTTTGCAGGTGACATTCTTAGCTGGAACTGTTCTTGCAGTCGGTGGATGTGCTTGGATCTCCGTAGGTGAGGGGGACAGTTTCTGCAGTCAGGGGATATATGGTGTGGGTGTGATGCTCGGGGCTGCCGCTTCAATGCTCATTGTTAGTTCTCTCTCCTTCACGCACGATCTCATAGGCACCAGCTCAGTAAGTACACACGAAATGTGCTGTAAATTTTCAAAATAAAAGCAATGTTTTTATTCCTTTAGGTTTTTATCCGCTCTTCTTCGTATTTAGCAAATTAAATATGGACATGGCAAAAATTGCGTTGTAAAGAAAGTTGACAGGCCACAAAACGCGCCTTTTTAGTGAACTAGAAGTTTTATTTAATTAAACTTATATACTTTATTTGTTAAATTTGAGATGGTAAAAGATCTACTTGAACTGCGAACAAAAACTGAATAATGATTGCAAGTTTTCCGGAACACTAGCGAGTTTTCTAAAAAAATTTTGGTGAAGGCCAGGGTCAATGCCAGCCTGCTGGGTCAGGGAAGAAGAAGAAAGGTTGATGAGATTATTAAGTTCCAGGTTAAAATTTAAAATGACATCTTTAAAAATGAAATTCCTACTAGTATTAAGGTAAATTAGTAACCAAAATTATAAATGTGGCAGATCTATGAGATCCACGTTATCCCAATGTGTTTATTACAAAGAAAATAATTGAAGAAATTAAAAACTATTGGAAATATTTTTGTAGTGCGGAAGCCACTATCAACTATTTTTCAGCATTAAAAAACTTAAGTACCACTTTTTGATTTTTTTTTTTCCGGGTGGTGGTGGCAACCCTCATAGAGTATTATTTGTGAAATCTCGATTTTTCTTAAAGATGTCGGGGAGATTGCTTCAAATGCCGGATTATATCATAATTACAACTTTGAAATTGGATAATCTCACTTCAAGAAGAAGAAGAGAACGGATATCCACACATGTGACCTATGACGTCAGTCGATCGTTTTTCAGCAAAATGGCGCGTTTAAGTTGAGCTAAGATTCTATCTAAAAGTTAGAATGCTAATTTACGTGAAGTTAAATAAATAAAGCGCCAAATGGCACATCGAATTTGTTAAAATGTAATTCTTTCTCGTATACGCTTTTAGTTAACTTAGATTTATTATTTGTTTATGTATCTTATTGTAATCGTGATTTATTTCTGTTTTGTGTACCTGCAATTTCGATGTTTATATAGTTTGTTTATGTTCCACGTGACTTTGTGCCTGTATTTGCGTTAAATAAGAAATATATAGTGAAAGAATTGAAATCTTTGCGAAAGAATAAAGAAGGTGTCACTTAGGAGAACTTATACTTGATAGGCTTAGCTTATTCGAAATTGAATGGAAAAACAGTTGCTAAAGTAAAGAAATGCCATAGGATTAAGATACCCGCACTACGTCACTTGCAGGCATCCCATTGTAAATTGTTTTCAGTAATAATGTTTTTTTTCTCATAGGAGAGTGGAGCTTTTGTGTATGGCTGTATGAGCTTTTGGGATAAAATCGCCAATGGTATTGCTGGAATGTTGGTCCAATATATACACTCGTAAGTTTCTATTTCATGATTTAATACAATAGTTACAAACTTGGAAGAGATATAGGGCAGATCATGAGGATTAAAAATTGTATAGCAATCCATGACCGGAAATATAATATCACACGTCCCTAGGGGTGCTTCCGGTAAATTAATTTTGGTGATTAGCTCACCAAGCCATTAAATTACAATATAAAAGCGATTTCAAAATTTTCTTGAAAGCAATTTTGATCAACAATTATTATATGTAAAGTTAACATAAATTTATAATAATTTAGATAAATAAAAATACAGCTTAAATGCGCATGAACAGGACGTTTATAATAAGAAAGTACCCCTATCGTCGTACGATGACGTCTACTGTCATGAGGTTGCTATGCTCTCCCCAATCTCTATGATGTGTCCTATCTCCTTTTTATTGTTTGCAACAGTTGAGCTGGATAACACAGTATAGCTCCAAATGTTTTGCTATGAATTTCGATTGAAACTTTTTACAAGTAATAAAAAGTATTTATTTTGGAATAGGAAATAATAGCTTAAAAAAATCACTAGTATAAGTATAAAATTTGCTAGTAACTCTTTCCCTTCTTTTATGAAAGCAAGAAACGTGTTATTAACTGTAAAAATTAACCTATTTATTAATTCGAATTCATTTGTAAGCTTATCCTAGCAAATGTAAAACGTGAGTCACTGGTAACGTATAAAAACAGCATTATTATGTTTGTAATAACTTATTAATTGCATTGATTTAAAACATTTCTATATGGGCAAAAAAAAGTCTTTCACAATAACTTTTGAACTAATAATCGGATTTTTACGTACTAGGACTTAATCTCAATAGTTCTATGGGGGGGACCTCAAATATGTTATATAATTAGTGAAGATCATATTTTAAGGTACGAAATCAGATATGAAAAGGTACTTTCCCTAAATAATTTTATCCTTTTTCTGACGAAAGTAGTTCAAATTCAACTGTAACCTGTTTGTAAATTTGTGATGTCTGTTCAACGTAAAAGGAATTATAAACCACTTATTCTATTGAGCACACTAACTTGCATAAATACAGACGAGCGACAAAATAATAGGAACACTTCTATACCTATGTAAACAATTTTTCTTTTGGCAACAAATGTTTTGGCAGATCTTAAAAAGCAAAACTGATGGTACGATTTGAAAGATCACGCTTGAAGCTTTTAGAAATGGTGGCCATGCAAAATTTGCATCCATCAAAATGAGCTTAGGAAGTTTAAAGCTGCCTTCCTTTTTTAATACCACTATAATTTTAAAAACATTCTGATATAAGTATATGGAATGAACTCAAAATTGCTGAATAGGGGTCGCTTCGCGACCCAGGTGCCCATTAAAATTAAAACACTAGGACTAGGACAAAATTGCTGGGTTTTCACGAGGTGGTACATGTGTTGCAGAATAATTCAGTGGTGAATGGGTGCATTAATTAAAGAAACCATAATTAATAACAAGTTTAATAATAAAACAATATGATACGAAAAGGGGCTCTCCAACAAGCCATCCAGTTCAAACCATTGCCTGCCACATAAGTGATTATAGAATTGTTGTGAGTGATTACAACGCCCTCTTCTGGTCAGGGAGAAATTCGTAACAACATGCGTAGCTCTTTTCTCTGAATTATCACTCCATTAATTTAATCTCAAATAAACACTCACAAATTAAAACACGGCAATTCATCGGCACCACGGTATGCGAGCAACCCAAATGGGTCGCAGCCTTGGGAACGATAAATTGGTACCTTTACAGAGATGCCAACTTGCTCCGGACAGCAAATATATATTTTAAAGTGGTAGTTTATCAATTGTAATTCTTGGTTTAATAAATTCAATTTTATAGATTTTTATCCACCACTATTTCTAAATAATTCGTAGGCTTATGTAATTCACCACTTTTTAGTACTTATGTCATGCTATGCCTTTTAAAAATCAATCAAAAATAGTCAAATATTCGCAAAATTTACTTTGTAGTTATTTACCGTTTTTTTAATTATTGTGGCGTGTCCGGAGCAGTTGGCATCTTTGAAATAGGGATATTACCAGGACGCTTGGGTCATCACTATAACAAGGTCACAACACTGTCGGTCACTGTGACTGAGTCACAGACAAAGCAGTTGCCGGACTATCTATCACTTATATAACCTTTTCTCTGTAGTTGACAGTTTTTGCTTTTTTTTCATTCTAGTGTAAATGTGTAATTAGATGTATATATTTTCTCCATTACTTTCTATTTTATTACACCAGAGTAAATGTTAATATTATTCTAACCCCTGTAAATATTATTATATTCTAATCTAGTTTAATCTCAATTATGTTTAATTTCCCATTGATTTCATTATATGTTCAACCGTCTGGTTTCGCAGTCATGACTTTACAATTTGGTCTTTGCAACCCCTCTGCCCCCAATTCTACTCCAACCTATTGCAAAATCCGATTATCCCCAATTCAAAAATCCGACGAATCAGTTAATGTCGCTTAGCGGCATCTCACTGAGATCTGAGCTACGTTTTAATGTTCAAAATTGCTAGCAAACTTGAGGGTAGTTTTCACAGAGTTCTCAATTTTTTTAAAAATTGGTAGCTAAAGTAAGATATATCTAGATGTTTTAGGCTATCAATAAATATTTTTTGATAGCTTAAAACATGGAATATAATATGGGTACAAAAATTAACTCGAGAATAACTTTGTAATTCACGAATAAAAGATAAATTTAAGTATTTTTCAGTAGTCATGAAAAATCTTATCTTATCTTGACCTAATTATAGAAAGTTATATATTTTAATTCCACCGTCGTTCTCAACATATCTCCGTAATTTCACAGACAGACGTTTTTTACAAATTTTTCAGTTTCTGCTCAGCAAAAAAAAAAAAAAATAAATAAAAAAANATAATAATAATAAAAAAATAAAAATTAACGACTAGAAAAAAAGCACTTAAATAGGAATACTATTCGAAAACTTATTACTAATTCGTCAAAATTTCGTTAATACCGCTAATGAAAACAATTTCGAAGTTTTGCGTTCATTGCTACAACAGATCGGCAAAAATAATAAAATTGAATGAAGCAGCCCCAATGATAACTGAGGTTACTCGATAAGTTATAAAACATTTTCATTATTTCATTATTTTATTATTTTACTAAATATGAAACTTTTATATTTATAATATAAGTGGTAGTATAGATTGTTAACTATTACAGACAATATTTCTACTGTAATTTCTCTTTATTCAAGGGTTTCACCCGCAAATATATATTTTTGGGAGGGGTCAAATCCCATTTTACCGAATGAAATTTCGAATTTGACCGAATCATAAATAACTATGTACTTCATTAGCTTCAATGAAAAACTATTTTGTTGCTAATATTTTCACTATATTTTAATTTTTTTCCACCAATATTTCCCCACCAATGATTAAACGACTTTAAACTTAATTAATTAATTTAAACTTAATTAAACTTGACTTGAAACTTGACTTTCATTTAATTAAACTTTAAACTTAATTAAAGGACTTTAAACTTAATCAATGAGATGCATTTGGTCAACTGGTAAGCCAATAAACAGTTCTGAGAAACTGGGGATCGATTCCCAGAACTTGAAGCCCTTTCAATTTCAGATTGATGGGTCAGATTGATGACCAGTTTGTCTGGGCAGTAAAGACTACCTGTGCACATTGCTGACCACATAGACATCATCAGCACTTGACATATTTTTGTTGTTGTTGTTAATTTACGTCGCACTAGAGCTGCACAATGGGCTATTGGCGACGGTCTGGGAAACATCCCGGAGGATGATCCGAAGACATGCCATCGCAATTTTGATCCTCTGCGAAGGGGATGGCACCCCCGCTTCGGTAGCCCGACAACCTGCGCGCGAAGTCGAGCACTTTACGGTAGCACAGTTTAACGAGGACCAATACCGCACACCCTCGGTCCCTACGCCGACTGATCCAAGTGGTCACCCACCCGTACACTGACCGCAGCTAGTGATGCTTGACTTCGGTGATCTGCTGAAAACCGTGTCTTAACGATCAGTCCACTGCGGGACTAACTATTACAGACAATATTTCAACTACAATTTCTCCTTATTCAAGGATTTCACAGGCAGAGGCCTCGCAAACTTATATTTTTGGGAGGAGGAATTCCCATTTTACCGATTTCGAATTTGACCTAATCATTAATAGCTATGTACTTCATTAGCTTCAATGAAAAACTATTTTGTTGCTAATATTTTCACTATATTTTAATTTTTTCCCACCAATATTTCCCTACCAATGATTAAACGATTTTAAACTTAATTATTATTGTCAATGAGATACATTTGGTCAACTGGTAAGCCAATAAACAATTCTAAGGAGCTGGGGGTCGATTCCCAGTCCCCGTCCTGTGCACAATGCTGGCCACGTAGACATCATCAGCACTTGACATATTGAAGGGCCCCAACCTCCAACAACAATGGGCTGTTACGAAAATGTCTCGCTTTCATTATAGTCAATAAAAATATAGATAATGAATCATTTGATAAATAAATGCAACATTAAATAAGTAAATAAATAATTGGCAGCTAACTTGAAAGTTTAATTCTTCACTATCACACGAATCGAAAAGTTGATAATTTAATAATCGGCAAATCTCCGGTTAGAAATTTAAAAAAATAGGTATCCAGAGAAAATCATGTTTTAAAATAAAAATATAGTTTTAGTAGTTAAACATTTAGAAAAAAATTATTAATAAAAAATTTGCGTAACTTACTAAAAATTGATTTATTTGTTGAATTTAAAAAAAATAAACCAGCATATAAATAGATTAATTAAAAGTGATTAGTTTAAAATTACTATGCTATAATTTGCAGTTCAAATTTATCATTACGTTTTTTTTCTAGTCTTTTTAAGGAATTTTCTTAGCGCCTCCCACCAATTTAATGGACTCACAATTTCTATCTGCACACAAGAATTTAAATTAACAAGAAGGTTCCGCTTCCAGCTCGCTAAGCCCCAAAATTTTGATACACTTCCCTTCAAGAGATCTTCTCACTCTTTTCTCCAAATTCTATTTAATATTCCCATTTTTATGCCTTGATATTTTCTATAGTTTATTATCATTATATTAAGGGCTACGCCCACTTCTATGTATGGCTCGGAGCTTTACAATTTAATTACTCCAAATAAATAAGAGATTTAAGCAAATTAAGAAGCATTGATCACACATATGGATAATTGACTGAATGTGAACAATAGCAAACTTCCTAGCTGGAAGAAATTCAGAAAACTTCCTCTGTATCACTCCGCTTATGTTATGCTTACGAGGCGAGGTGTGAACAGGCTTAATATTCTGGGAAGTTTTATTATTGTGATTTGTGTTTAAAATCACGCGTAAATTTTTTTTTACCATACATAAGAGTTTTTTGTAATTTAAAAATTCCAACAGCTCGTGAGCCTGAAACAAATTTAACAATATTAATGTCACAGCATAAATAGAAAGTAAGGTTGCCCATGCTTTGAGTGTTATATCTTATTTGGTCATCCATTCCAAGCAGAAATTAATATGATGTTAGGTTTGACAAAAAATAAAATAGAAATTAAACCGTAACGATAATATTTGTTTGAGAGTTAAATATCATTTTAAGAGACACGAAATAAAAGTAAGAACTGATATAAAATGATTACAAGTTGGATTAGTTACCATTAATCAATGCAATCGTTCATTCGTATTATATTTTTACTTTCAATTTATAAGTTTAAATTTTGTGTTTTCGTCTTATGCAGTGAAACATGTCAAAACTGTGATTGGTTCTACAAAGATGTTATGTCGTACGGAGTTGGTGGTACTGCTATTCTTGCAAGTTTGGTGCTGGCAACGCTGCTTCCCGCTAATCTAGGAAAAAGAACATCCTCATACAATGGTAAGTAGGCTACTAATAGTTATAAATCGATCTAATAATTTCGCGCAATTATTTTTTTAAATTTATTCTCTCCACATCGTATCAAGATATAATGGATGGGAAGAAATAATTGTTCTAACTCGCATCCCTATGATTTTGATTCGAACTCAGAAGACAAAGCAACACTTTTGTCAAATATTATAGGTTTTCCACGGTCTAGGTAAACATGAGGAAATTTTACTACTGACCACTAACCAGTTGTAGCATTTTTTACGCGGGCCACTTTTACGAACATTTTTCCTGATTGAAAAGAATTTTTGATAATAGAAGTCATTTTTTGAAGCATTTCTTAAAATATGGAACATAACAAGGTTCATTTCTAGAATGAAGAATAATTTTTACGAAACAAGCTTGAAATAAAGTATAAATATTATAAATAATCATAATTATTCCATTTTTATCATACATATTATAAATAAACATAATTATTCCATGTTTATTTCACATATTATAAGTAATCATAATTATTCTATGTTTATTTTAGATATTGTAAATATTCATAATTATTCCATGTTTATTATACATATTATAAGTAATCATAATTATTCCATGTTTATTACATATTATAAATAATTATAGTTATTCCATGCTTATAATACATATTACAAATAATAATAATTATTCCATGTTAATTAAAAAAATAATGATTATATTAAAATGCACGTGGATGCATTTTCGACGAAAAAAGTGGCTTTTGGGTGATAATTAGTAGACAAATTTTTATTCGCCATTTGTTAAATTAAATCGCCATGTGACCGGTGGTGACCGCTAATTTTGTCCTATACCAGCCAGCCATTACAATTGCTGTAGCACGACGGTATTTCTACTTTTCAGTTGCAATTTTGATGACTAGTATAGTGGAAAGAAATTCTGAGGATATTAATTATATCCAAGAATTTTGAATATTGTGCTGACCTTTTGGGCTCTGGGGTGCAGAAGCAGTGTTCCAATTGGGTAGTCAGCCCAACGCGGAACCCCCAGTGTTTAGTTTCCAAGCCTGCTTGGTACTCATAATGAATAATCATTAATTTTAAATCGTGTATTTAATTGAGTGCGTTACAAAATGTAAATCTTTGCTTTTCATTTTAGTGGTAAAATAGTTTTAAAGTGCGAAATTTTACCTGTTACATAAGTAATTTTCATTTGCATATGTATCATTAAATTTTATGAAGAAAATTTCTGACTTCGCAGCTGATCTATATCAATTACGTTTCGCCCCACCCCCTTCAGCCAAGAAACGGACACACAAACTAATCTAAATTTGCTAAAATTGAACTGATTCAGCCTTTTAAATGTAATTATATAAATCTAACTTTAATTTATTTGTAAAATTTCTTGTATGATTAACTTCTTAGGAAGAAAACAAACGTTTCATATAAAAATTAACTGTTTATTTAGAATATAGTAGTATCTAATATTGATAAAATTGTCAAGTTTAGCATTTTTGAAGGCTTATTGTTTCATAAAATATGTGATTATTTAGCGTAGTGTTTGAATATAATAGATACTTTGAATTTTAAAAATGAGTTTTTAAGGTTGAAATAAAGTATAAAGGCTTACAGTTTTGAAATTTCGTTGGCTCAAGTCCTCTAGTCGGTTACATCTTATTAAGTTTTGGAGTTAATTTTTGTTTTGTTTTTGTCGAGAAAATTCTTTCTATCAGCCAATCACAGACTGTCACTCGAAGATTAGATATGGGGCCTCTAAACTTCGTTAATCCCATTTATTTACCTTAAGAAATGTTGCTTTGTGATTTGCATATAAAAATATTTTTACATGAAAATTATTATTATTATTATTCATCGATAGTTTTGTTTTGAGTAACTTTTTCTTTTTCAGAAATAGTTGATGTGACTCCAGAGCAAGAAAAAATTAACTACCGTTCAATTGACAAATGCACAGAAAGTACTCCAATTTTGCAAGAACGGTGAAACAATACTTAGGAATTTTAGAAGTACATGAAAACAAGGAAATGGAAATAAGACCGAGGGATTCGTAGTCAAAAAACTCTTAAGAAATCCCAGAAAGCAAATTAAAACTGTTTTTTTAATTTTAGTAGTTTTGTATACATAAAAATTGATTGTTTGATTTATTTTGTATTTTTTTAAAAAATGATCATTAAAACAAAAACAGGACTTTCCTTTGATGCAGAATTTTTATCAATACTAGAAATACTGAAACTTAGTATATACCTATATTGTCAAAAAACAGGCAAAATAACTGCATTGTAAAAAAATAAATGTGTAAAGAAATTTTTTAATTAACTTTTAATATTTTTTATATTATTTACAGGTATATAACAAGTTATTAGTAAATATTAACAATAAAAAAAATTTACTTCACTTGGAAGAAAAATAATTTATGCATTATTATTTGTGCATTTTTCGCAAATGAAAAAGCAGTTCAAAATCAATCCAACTGATTTCCTTGGGCAATCTAGTGTTAAACATATTTTTCATACTTTTTTTCGTTATTTTTTTTAAATTGCTCAAACGTGTAGTTGGATCGTGTATACATAGTAAATTTGCATTGTGTAAAATATTTTAAAAGACGTACAAACTATTTAAAAAAAAAAACAAGTGCTGTCCTTTGTTTATGGATATATTTAATAAAGTTGATTGATTAATAATTTTAAAGAATTTAATATTCTTAAGCATTGATGCTAAAATTGTTATATTTTTAGTGTTTAAACTGTTTAAATAAAACTGTTATGTATAAAAATGTAGTTTCGTTTATTTTTTAATCATTAATTTTTATACTCACGAATTACTTAGGAGAACAAATTTTTTGTTGCATTTACACAAGTATTTGGTCTAAACTACTTCGGGTGAGAGGATTTTAAATCTGAAATGATAAGTTTAGTTCCGAAAGCTACAGAATTTTTCAAATTGATATTTTTATTTTACTTTATTTTTTCCTGAATGAACAAGCTCATAAAGAACGTTTAAATTTCTATACATACATAAGTACTTATCTCCTCGTTTGAAATTAACACTTAGGGCAAAAAAACAAAAATAAATAAATATGAGAGCCCTTAACGTATATCATCTTAAACTGAAATGTATTATTGCTCTCTTCCTACCATTTCCTACGTAGCAGAGAGGTGGGGACACTTAGTGTTGACTAAAAAGAATTTTTAAAAAAATTCGGGTTATGAATATCTTATTAAATTGCGTAAAGACTATACCTTGTAGGCAGAAACTGGATGCATATTTGAAATCAGCGACACGAAAATGTCAAAGACTCGATCAAAAATCTCAAATTTTTTGTTCCCTAATGTCATCAAACAAATGTAAATTTAAAGATAAAAAATACATGAAATTTGTAAGTTCATGGGTACCAACAGTTTTTTTTAAACTGATATTACTACCAGATATTCATTACTTTAATTACATACCTACAATTACATAATGGAAAAAATTTCGCATAAATAATTTTTTTTTAAAATTCTTCGGAGAAATATTTTTACTTGTGCATATAAAAATGTTTTTTTTTGTACAGCTAAAAATTATTTTTACACGTCAATAACAAAAATTGACATTTAAAAATTAAATTTAAGCTAATAAACCAACAATTTTTAGCAAAACTTGTACATTATTGTGAAGATTTATATATTTTAATATATGAAAGACAAAAACTTTTTTTCAATTATCAAAAAGCATTAATTAATTAATAAATAAAATTTTTAAATTCAAATAATTTTTCTGTTTATAAATCGCAGTTGGATTTTATCTGATACATAATCATTATTAATGGTTGTATGATTAAAATAATTATTAATATTCTTTATTATTACTATTTATTATTATTAATAATTATTTATTAATTAGTAATAAATTATTGATAAATAGTTAATTATTCTTCAGTGTAGCACAAGTGCAAAAACCTCTTGACTCCTTTGGTGAATGCGTATGATGGACAATTCATGAATTATCTTTAGTTTTATGCGACGAGGAGTCAATTTGAATGAGGATCAATATTAAAATGTGTGAGTAAAATTTTCAGAGAGAATCTATAGAAATATCTATACTTTCTAATTTTAAATACATTAAAACTATTTTTTAGTCCAAAATAGCCAAGTCTGGAGTATAAAAATGTTTAAAGAGAAAGGATAATCTGAGAATAATCTCTTTACAACGAGTGATCAATTAAAACCTGGTTCCTTATTAAGATATAGTTTCTAAAAATACCCATATATTTTTAAAAATAAGAACAGATTTCTTTTCGTTGAAAAAAAACCTTATTAACAGCAAAACATGTTAAGTCTACGGCATGTATTGTGTTATATGAAAATGGTTGCTTTGTGAATTGCTTATATTTTTTTCCCCGAAGAAAGATCAATTTGAAATTGGTTCCATATTAAAAAAAATGCACTTAAAATTATTTGAAATTACACATATATGTTTGGAAATATAAATAAAAATCTTTTAAAATGAAATTCTTTAGTCCAAAAAAGGTAAATTCTGCATAATAGTATATACATAGCAAGGGCGCCGGCAAAATAATATAAAAGGGGGTGCAACCCTCTAACAAACTACCCTCCCCTCCCCCCGAAAAAAATTAAAATATTCTGCTATTACAGATTGTTTTGTTATTACATATACTTTCATCTGTTCATTCTTTCAAGATACATTTCTTCATTGTTAGCAGGATATTTAAAAAAAAGTACGAATTTCTTGTACTTACAAATTTTGCCCAGGGGCGATCGCGCTGGCGCTGGCATAGCTACTGACTTAGAAGCACAAATAACTACAAACAGTAGTTTCGTATACTAACGTGTTTGTGNAAGTATAAATATTATAAATAATCATAATTATTCCATTTTAATCATACATATTATAAATAAACATAATTATTCTATGTTTATTTTACATATTATAAGTAATCATAATTATTCCATGTTTATTATAGATACTGAAAATATTCATAATTATTCCATGTTTATGGTACATATTATAAATAATCATAGCTATTCCATGTTTATAATACATATTATAAATAAAAATAATTATTCCATGTTAATTAAAAAAGTAATGATAATATTAAAATGCACGTGGATGCATTTTCGACGAAGAAAGTGGCTATCAGGTGATAATTGGTAGACAAATTTTTATTCGCCATTTGTTAAATTCAATCGCCATGTGGCCGGTGGTGACCGTTAATCTTGTCCTATATCAGCCAGCCATTACAATCGCTATAGCACGACGGTATTTCTACTTTTCAGGGGTAGCAATTTTGATGACTAGTATAGTGGAAAGAAATTTTGAGGATATTAATTATGTCCAAGAATGTTGAATATTTCAAGGAATCTGGATGTAAAAATTAACTGAATGATGATGTCTAGAATATTTTTTTCTAAATTTTAAATGAACTGGAGCAAAAATTTTGGAAAGAGTAGAGTCCCTATATATAACGTTATTAGACAGTTACAACACACAGATTCAAAATAGTCAGAAAGAGAAATATTGGTGAATCTTTTGCCATGCCGGGTGATGCTTAACTCAACACTCGCATTATTTTTCACACTCTTTCTGCTAGAGAGAACGAGTGGTCTGTCAGGTCCGACCGTAGCAAAAGCATTGTACAGATCCATTGACTTTTTAATACGTTTTTTATATGTTATATATAAAAAATATGTTGTTTACATTAGCTCCATTGCAGTGTGTTTTTATGCCAATCACAAATAATTTTAGATACCAGTTTATAGTCTGAATACTATAATACTAGTGCTCGAGTTTGGTTGTCCTGAATCGTGGGAGCCTCCCTGGCCGAGGGGTACCACCCGCTAAACGATGTGCGAATCACGGAAGGTGGCGGGTTCAAATCTCACCGGAATCCTGACCGTATTCTTTGTTATGTCCTTTTCAAAATTCTTCTATCTGTCCTTCTACTAGACAGTGGTTTATAAGTCTAAATTGAGCAAACAAACCTGCAAATGTATGAAATTTCCATAAAGCACGAATCATCCGCTTGCATTTCTATTTCGGCTGCACTACTTTTAAACTATTCTCTGTTATAAATGTAAATTTTTTATTTTACTATTTATTAATGTAGCAGTAATTGAATTCTGCGAATTGTCTAAAACTCAGTGACGTGACAACCCAAATGGGGTCAAGGCCTACTCTACCCATCTCAGTTTTCTTTTGGGCTTTCTCCACTTTATATATGCAAAATTTACTTAGTAGTTATTCACCGTTTTTTTAAAAATTATTTTGGCGTGTTCAGAGCAGTTGACCTCTCTGCACTTAGAAAGCAATGTAATTATATACAATGAGAAAAAAATGAAAATATGAGATATATATTTATGAAATATTCTAGCATTTTATTTTTCAATACTCGAACTAAGCAACTGAAACCTTCAAAATCTGACATCAATTGACATTCTACGTTTGTTCTTTCTATTACTGCTTATCGGCAACAGTTGTTTATCGCTTGTTTCATTTGAGATAACGATATCGAATAACGGATCGAAGTATTGACTGTACATTCCTATTTATTATTGATGTGATGTTTGCATGCTTACTCAAAATTTTGTCTAAATTACGATGGCGTCAAATTGACGCATATCCGTAGAGATAGGTATACCACAAAGAGAATTTCAATATTTCAACGCTTTTGAAGAAAATAGACTTCAATATATATATACCTTGATCAATGGATAAAAGTCATTACAAGAGATAAAATAAAAATGCAAACAGGTTTTGTAATTTTCCTTATGAAATGTGCCAAAATGACGCGTCCCGTAAACCTAGTGTTAATTACCGTCAGAAATGTTGTTTAATGATTTGCATCTAAAAATATTTTTGCATGCAAATTATTATTATTATTATTCATCGATACATTTGTTTTGAGTAGCTTTTTCTTTTTCAGAAATAGTCGGTGTGACTTCAGAGGAAGAAAAAATTAACTACCATTCAATTGACAAGTGCACAGAAAGTACTCCAATTTTGCAAGATCATTGAAACAATTCTCAGGAATTTTGAAAAGTACACGAAAACAAAGAAATGGAACTAGCAACGAGGGATTCGCAGTCAAAAAACTCTTAAGAATTCCTCGAAAGCGAATTAAAATTGTTTTTTTTATTTTAGTAGT